ACCCTTGCTCTATTTCCATACTTTGTGAGGTTTGTTTTCTCTTAGTTTATGCCAGACTGAAAACTGATGAACTGTCGTCCACTGCAAGGATAGTCCATCCCTCTCCACCCCCTCAGGGGTCAAAGCATTCAAATGTCCTGATTAGTGATATTTTTAAAAGCCCTAATTATAGATTTAAGACAGAGGCCTTAGTGGGGCTTTAGGGAGTTTGTGAGACTTAATCTAGGAGCTGAAACAGGCTATTTTATTTTTTATTTTTGCATCAATAAAAATACAGTTGGCAGTCATCAGCGTCCACGGCGCACATAAATCTTGAACTTTTGACTTAATTGCCATGGGAGAGTTCACAGGGCAGCCTGGAGCAGTTGAAAGAACAGTGTTCAGGGAGCTGGGAACGTGGGGTAGCTGCAGGCCGGCCCCCGGCTATGTGGCCTTGATCAAATCACTTAACCTTTCTGGGTGACATTGATCACATCAGCTATCAGGGCAGATAGTCACCAAGGTCTTTTTTCAGTACAGCATTGTAATATGATTCCATGTTTTTCCTTTAAAACACTGGGCTCTACTTTGTTCTTTTTTGGTTCCAGAGAGAGATTATAGACCATAAAACTTAGATGTCAGTATTGGGGTATGTAAGGGTTTTTGAGGCGACAAGGCCCAACAAGCTTATGGTTTCTCATTAAACTTCGGGGTCAAAAAACCCCCTCTAGCTGGGTGTGCTGGTGCACGCCTGTAATCCCAGCACTTGGAAGGCTGAGGCAAGAGGATTGCTATGAGTTCAAATTGAGACTGGGCTACATAGTCAGTTCAAAGCTGGCCTGAATTACAAAGCAAGATGCTGTCTCAAAACAAAACAAAACAAAACAAAACCCCTCCAGTCCTACCATTTGTTGACAGAATCCTTACCTACCTACCACAAAGATAACTGAAAAGAATATTAGAATGGGGAGGGACTTTATAAGAGCATCTGTCTCACTTTATAGCCAAGGTGTTTGACAGTCATGGTCCATCTATCCATCCATCCGCCCTGGAATACCTTGTCTATAGGCTGAAGACAGCTCAAGCTGAAGCCTGAGGTTCTCCATCTTTGCTAGACAGCACAAATCACCAGGAATACTTTCTAGGACAGAGACATTCCTGATGTGGAAGCCACATCAGTGATGAAGAGGCTGCGCCTTCGTTGTGGGGTGGTGGCGGTAAAGAACGTCTGGAGTGCTAGGCAGGAGGTTCCTGAGGAGGTTATAAATCTCTTTGATCAACCACAGTTTAAGAACCTTCTACTGCATGAAAGTAAAATTCTGCTTAACTCTATCACTCATAGGCAGTAACTATTTCAGTGTAACAATGGTAATGAGTAGGTATCTTAATAGTGGAATTTGATGTATTCGTTGTGGCTGGGTCTTACTGTTCTTTTAATTTGCTCATCATTAATATTTAATGACTCAGAGAACATTGTCCTTTACTGTATATGATGTTAGAAGACCTAAGAATGCCAGAGCCTAAGGGACTGTATTTGTGATTGAGGTCAACTTGTTTACAGGTTAGTGTAACTCATTTTGGATGCCCCCAGAGGTTTATGTCATAGTTATCCCTTTATTAATTGACTTTAAACCCACTCTTCATATACCGCTAAGGTTATACCAAGGGAGATTTATTAAATAGATACTCATATAGCTGTACTTGATTTCAAACAGTGTGTCATTGGCTTGCTGATGAAACATCTCCTTTGGTCATCTGTTATGTACAAGGGTCATCCCTGTTTTCATAGATCTTTAATTTGTTACACCATTTCCTTCTCCAAATGAGAGTGGTTGAAGCTATTCCTGAATCCTGGGATGAAAGAGGCTTTCTTAGCCTCTGGCTTGTTTGAGATGCTCTGGCATTTCCATATGGTTAGAGGGCAAAACTGGCAGGAAATATTGAAGAGAGAAGAGAATACCGAGGACACAAAGCCGTGGAAGAAAGAAACACGATAGGGTTATTCTTACAATATTGTTATTTTTCTAGACCATCTGATGCTTTAGGCTAGGAGAAACCATTGTAAAATAATAGTTTCTTCCTTCCATTATTAAAAAATTCTGTGAGCTTGACATATTAAAGGGAGGCTTAGTTACAAAGGGCTTTTATGCCTGTGTGACACTGGTATTCCTTGCAGTGAGGCTGATCAGGCAGACACAAGCATAGGCAGAGGGTTGGGGTCATCAACAGGCACACAGAGCTCCTCAAACAGCTTGGCCTCGTAGCCCTTTCCGTCAAGTCACGATGCCCAGCTCTTGAGGGAATGTTGTGAAGTCTGATTTCATGCTATAGCCTTGTACAAGATCTGTTCCTACTTTGGTGATTTAATTTCATGGTGCCCTTACCTACCTCAGGTCTCAGAGGCTGTGCTGAGAAGTTGCACTTACACCCCACGTTCTGATGATTGAAATTTCATTCCAGGAAAGTGGCTACTTGCCAGAAATTCTTTTACCGGAGTCCTTCAATCATGCCTTAGGTGCCAGGACAAAGGCCCTGGTGGCCAGTGTGCTGTTGCCACAGACTAGACCTGTGCAGTGCATGTAGCCAGGGGCAACCTTGTGCTAGGTGCGGCTTTGCCGATGGCTTAGCCCGGTGGAAGTAGAAAAGAACAACATTCCTAGTTCCCTAAACCAAGTCCTATTTTTTTTTTTATGTTTTGGGGACATAAAAATCATGCTTCACAGTATGTAAGCACATATTTGTTGATTTCATTCATGGGAAAAAAGACATTCCAAAGGATCAGCTTAGTGGTAATTGATGCTATTTGAAAGAGTTACTACATTAATATTTAGCTAATTCATGTGAATAGGCTATTGTGTTTACTTAAACAAATGCCACGAGTACAGACACCTGACAGCATGAGGTAGGCTTTTCATTGAGGTCAGATTTATAAAAGTCTTTGTGTCGTGTCAAAGCGCATTATTTATTTTGTGTTCTCAATGGTTTCTTTTCAGTGGACATGGATGGAGTTTTCTAAGTAGAAGCTTTTGAAAGATTATTAGGGATTGTTTTTGTATATGCCAGGTCCTGAGAGGCTTGTGATAAATGGGAGTCAAGTACTCCGTGGTGAACGCTCGAAAGAAGAGGTGTTTATGGACATCAGGCACCCAAAGCCAAATGGCTACCCAGGTTGCCTGCTCATTGCAAATGCAGCTGGATTCAAAGGAAAGAATGCAGCCTCATCTTCTCTGCCCTCATCTTCTCTCCCTGCTTTCTTTCTCTCTCTCTCTGTCTCTCTCTCTGCTGTACATAACTATGGTTTTGCCCTTCTTTGCGCTGGCTTGGCATTACGTGGTGGCATGTAAATCCCACCCACCACCTTGCCACTTAAATGTTCACAGGATAAATAAGATACAGAAATTTCAGCCCCACCTTTTATGGCAGAGTTTAAGAGCAAACAGTAGAGGAAGATGTAGGCATTTGGGGTGCAATTATTCTAATTTCCAACTGTAATACAAGAGTATGGCTGCTGGGATTGTTACTGCCCACTAGTCCACTGTGCCCCCTGGCAGAGAAGAGGACACTTCTAAGCCTGCATCAGAAACGAAGACCATTTTTGTGTCCAGTTTGTGGCGTGTGTATACTGCTGCTCAGTCTAACCCTTACCAGAAAACAGCAGAGCTATGAAGCAGCCTGTGGATGGTCCTTTAGGGTAAGAGAGTACAGGGGCTGTGAGTACCAGTTTGCTAGGATGGAAACATACATGTGAACAGTTAAGCTGCTGACCAAGATTTCAGTGGAAGTTCTGGACAGTAATAAAGGAGGAAATGTGCACCTTTGGTCCAGGCTGGCTGTCCGGCACTCCAGTGAATCTCATGTGGTTGAAGGCCTCGGTTCTTTAGAGAAGCTGGATCTTGGTAGTGATGGAGCACGAGGCCAAAAGCAGTGGGCTCTGGCATTGGACTGGTTTGATTCAAATCCTGGTCTCACTTCTTTTGAGCTTTGTGGCTTTTGGCAGATTACAGTACTTCTTAGTTCCTTAGTGACCCCACCCTTGAACAGGGATAATAATAGTGCCTTTTTCACTGGATTGTTGTGGGGATTAATGTGTTAAAAATGTAAAAGCTCTTAGTGCAATGTTTGGCGAGTAAGCCACATTCAATCAATAGCAGTCTTTAGCCGTTATTAGCAGGCATGAAAAATATACAGCCATACTGTGGATTGAAGCTGTGGCTCTTACTTATAAAACATACAGTATTTCACTTGGTGACTTTAAAACTTAGATCCTTTCTTAGGTTTCCAAATGGCTTGTGTTTATGATTACAAGGGCCATTTAGAGGGCACCACTTTCGATAACATTTAGTTGGTAGCCCCCTATGAAGTTATCAGCTTAGGCATGGGAGTGGGATTATGGGGCTCACATAACCACCATTGGAGAGGAAAGCATTTTCTTTCACTTAAAAATTAAAATACATTTGGTGCTACAGTATTTTGTATTTGCACTGGGAAATTAATGATGCCTCCTTGGGTTGTTTTATCATATTCAGATGATAATTTACGGTATCGATCGCCCTTTAAAGGAAAACTCTGCTGGATAAGTTGATGAGGCTTTTGAGGATGGCCTGCTTTTACCATTGTGTACATGTGATCATTTAATAGGTGTGTTGGTCTAAAATGATACATTTTGGGAGGACGAGCTGTTGTTATTGCATATGTTCTTACTGAGGGTATAAAGTAACATTTTAAAACATGATTTGACATGAAATTATTTTCTGGCACCAACAACCAGAGCAAGAAGGTGCCTCAAATGCTTTTTTTCCCTGTTAATGGGCATAAGCCAATAAGCAGGCCCTAGAGGGACCTTCTGTGAGGCCAGCTGGACTAGACTTCTGAAAATGTGTTCCTCATGTAAATATTATCCAAAGATTTAAAAATATCAGAGCCTTTCCATACACAATAAAATGAGATTACCTGCTTTGCCGTTTACTTATGGAGATGCAGTTTTCCATGTACATAAATGTAAATGCTGTCTTCCAAATCAGGAGCACCGTACTGGACCAACACGGAAAAGATGGAAAAGCGGCTGCATGCTGTCCCCGCAGCCAACACAGTCAAGTTCCGCTGTCCTGCCGGGGGGAATCCAACTCCGACGATGAGGTGGCTGAAAAACGGGAAAGAATTTAAGCAGGAGCATCGCATTGGAGGCTATAAGGTAGAATTAAGCGTTCAAATGTTGTGTTTCTTAAGTGTTTGCTGTTTTTTGAAAGCCCTCCAGGGTTAGCGAGACTAGAAGAAATATTTTTGGAAAAAATTGGTAATTATAATGTGTTGTGTTAATGTTTGATATTTAAAGAATTAGCCTGGACTGGCATGCAGTTTTAGAGTACAATCCCCATTTGTGTTGCTCTTTATATGAGGAGAGTTTAATAACTAAAGGGTCGAAAGTTGAGAGTCTGTTTTCTATATGCTTTATGGTCTGTAAAACAAACTGATGTAGAATTTGAGAAGTTTCAGTGTAGCTGCCTTGTGTGAGCAGGATTTCAGTCACAGTGAATGGACTTGGATTAGAGACAGGAGTGTGAAAAATTATTCATTAACAGAGGGCATTAGCTGATGACAGAGGGGCAGGCCTTTGTCTTCCATCTTGGTGGAGTCTAAAGAGATCCTCATTGTCCTGAGATTGAGTCTCATCGCTCATTTGGTGTGGGAAATTGACAGCATCTCCCTGGAGATGTCTGTGAATGTTCCTACGAAGCTTGGTCCATCTACTCAGCCAAGGTTGATTCAGCACCTCCATGCTGGGCAGTGTCCTAGGCTCTGGGGAAACTGCAGAGGCCAGGAATAGTCCAGGGGCACTGGGGCCTTGGTCCAGTGGGAGGCAGACAGTAGAGCTGCAGTCATGGGGTGCTGATGAGTGTGAAGTCATGAGAGCATCTTGTGTTCTATGGATCCACGCCGACAGGTACTGTGAGCTCTATGGGAAAACAGTGAGACATCTGGGAGAGATTTTGGGCTGAGCTGGAAGGAAGGGTGTCTTGAGAAGACATAAGTATGGGGAATCTCTAAATTGTTGAATAGAGCTTTAAGAACTTAGCATATGATGAGGACTTTAGGAAGCCTTGTTATGAAATCCTTTGGTGCATTTGGAACTGAGTGTGCATTTTGGTTACCTCTTGCTGCATAAGAAAAATTGCCCCCTGCTGTAGAGGCTTTAAACGTAACATTTATTATCTCACAGTTGCCGTGGGAATCCAGGGGTCCAAGGGTGGCTTAGCAAGTGCTTCTGTCTCTAGGTCTCTGCCAGGACTGTAATCAAGGTTCCAGTTAAGGCTGGGAGAGCACCTGAAGGATTACCTGGGGAGGGAAGCGCCCATGCTGTTCTCAGGATTCACTCCCTCTCCAGTTTGCAGCGATTGGCTGCCCATAGTTCCTTGCCACATGGACCTCTCCATAGGGAAATGGCAAAGTCATCAGGCTTAGCAAGTGGAGGCAGTGAGGGAGGGGAGAGGGAGCGGGAGGAGGGAGAGGGCGCAGGGGGAGGGGTGGGGGAGCGGATAGAGGAACACAGAAATTACAGCCTTTTGTGCCATAGTCATGGGTGTGACCTTCCAGCAGTGTTGCTGTTTTCTATTACTAAGCAGGGCACTAGGGAGGAGTTGACCCAAGGACATAAATGCCACCATGATGGTGATCACTGGGAGCCACCTGAGAAATCTGCATCAAGGGTAAAACAGTGCGCCTTTGCTCAGACCCCGCCTTGGAGAGGAGTTTTCCGGGGCAGCAGTAGGATGCGTGGAAGGCCCCTTTTTCACCAGGCACACAAGCCCCACTTCATGAGCCTCCACCCTACCTAGAAGTGCCCTGGAGCCCTTTTTCTGAAATTCCACACCCGTCTTGAAAGGATTATTTGGTTCTGCAAAAGTTTTTGCCTTTTTACTTTAATGTTTAAAAATTAATGTCCAAAGCCAGCCCATAGGAACATGGGGAAAGCCTATGAGTCTGTCCCTAAGATCAGGTAAGGGGCAGACAAGTGGGATACAGGTGTCAGGCAAACCCGGATGGCGAGTGCCTTGGAAACTTGCATGTGAGCGTACTGTAGTCATCTCCTGCAGCTCCTGCTTGTTGGGGGAAGCGGGAGGCAGAGGAGTGGTTTGTCCTTTTGATCTTAGTTTGGTCTTTAGATTGAGTATAAAGAGATTGGCAGGTTGGCCCTTTATTTAAAAGGCAAAAAAATATTTTTTGAAAGTAATGGATAGGCAGAGATTTCATTATGTTACAGTGGTTGGAAAGAAGAGATAAGGCACTAAATCTGTGGCTCCTGGGATTATTTTAACCATCAACTATACTCATTGAAAACTCTGGTAATGAATGCAGCTTCAATGATTTATTTAAATGCAGTTTAAGTAGAAGAGTGGTCAAAATCCTGGTGGTTAACTGATTCTGTCAATTAAGATAGTCTTGTAAATAAGTACAGCGAGCTCAGGAACCCCCAGGGACTCCCAATCTCAGAATAAATAAGAACAACATCATTATGATGGGTAAGGAGCTTTCTGCAAATCTGAATTAGTGATTACAAATATGCTAGGAAGACTGAGGGGGGCTTAATAGGGAAATGCTGCTTGATTTTGAACAGGTGCAGTTCAGCTTTAATTATTTATGACATTCTGCTAAGCAAAGAGCACCTACAGTTCGTTCTCAAAGCAAAACAACAAGCCCTCTGCAGAAATCTCCAGCCCACAAGGACACACATGACCCGAGCGCTTCTCTTGGTTTAGGTCTGAGCCATTTCTGGAGGGAAAGAGAAATAGAATGTGTGAGGACAAAAATCTTACATATATTTTGCTTTAAAGAAAAAAAAAGGTAAAGGGAGGAGCGTTCTCCGCCTTGGGAATGCAGGATTCTGCCTGGTGGGCTTGGGCCCTGCTGCTTGTCCTTCTAGGCTTTCCCTGGTGAGGAGGCTGGACAGTGCAGTGAGGTGGCCTGGGAGGGAGGTGAGCCTCTCAAATGCAAGTGGTTGCATAAGGGGCTTGCACAACAGTGGTGGCCCTGGACGTTCATTTTGGAAAGCCTGGAAACTCAGAAATTCTAACCCAGAAGCGCTGGGACTTGAAAAGGAAAAACTGGAGCTCTTATCTCCTGGGAAAATGCAGTTGTCTAAGCATCAATCCATCTGAAGGGGTTATGTTAAACCAGCCCCAGGAATCAGGCGGGACGCCGTGGGAAGGTCCCCCAAGCCACACTCACCCATGGGCCAGGCGCCCCACTCAGGGCCAGCTTCTTGTCTGGTGTGCTTTATGCTCACAGCCCTGGGCAGGGCCTGAACGGGGCAGCATGGGAGGAACGTGGGCCCTGATATGGGTCTTTCCTTCTGATATTTTCTCCATTACCTAACATAAACTTTCAAAGAAATGTACCTCTGAGCATTAGACCTGAGAGAGCTATACGGTGCGATGTGTAATTTTCTTTCCACGGCACTTCCTTCTTTAAAAGCAGAGACCTAATTGAAGCACAGAGGTCCTGCCGCCTCAGCGATCTACTTCTCTGAATCCTTTTTGTCACAAGTGAAGTAAAGTGTCAGGTTTTCCAAGGAATCGTTTTCCAGAGCAGAGACCTGACACTTTCTACAAAGGTTTGTTATTTCTGTGGGTTTTCCTTCTGTTTCAGAAATCTGCTCATTTCCTAAACTGGGTTGTGCTTTGACGCCCGAGCCATCCATCCAGCTCTTTTTGCCTGTTTGTGGGCACCGGGGCTCGTCTCTGCCACATGACAGCTTGCCTGGAGTGGTGTGCGCATGGGACCAGTGAAGGGAAAACAGAAGACCAAAGTGAAGTCAAAGAGAATTATGAAATGGCACAGAAAGCTCATTTTAATGAAAATGACCTGTGGAACTGTTTGGAGTTCTGTGGCTCAGGCTTATTTATCACAGAGTTCCTGCTGAGCCCTCCTTAGGTGATTAAGAGTCAGATTATTATTTTCTTTAGTGTCTGTGCAGAGGCTAGTTGAATGTTACTAAGATGTAATTAATTTAATATAGTAGTAAAGCTTGACTTGAAGCATGACTCTGTCTTGCTAATGGTGCTTATTCCTAGATTTTTTACATCCGTTTTGACCAGGGACCGTTTTTTAAGCTCTTTGTGCCTCAGATCTCTTACCTTAAAACGAGAAGATTGGGCAATCCTGGATGTCTGATCCCTTCTCACTCTATGAACTGTGATTTAATTGCTAAGCCATGGTGCACCAATAGCCATTTTTCATCTTAAACAACAGCACAGATTTACTTAAAATACAAGATTACCTTCTTGGCTAGATAGTTCACAGGGCTTTGAATAGTTATTGCAAATAATGCAAAAAAGCAAGAAGATAACTGCATAATAGACCACTTCATTTTTAGGTAATAACTCAGGCATAGATGGTTAAAAACCATCTTTCATGTCACTTCTCAGTATTTAACAGAGACCAAGAGATCATAAGCCGGGCGTGGTGGCACACATACCTGTAATCCCAGCACTCGGAAGGCTGAGGTAGGAGAATTGCTTCAAGTTCAAGGCCAGCCTGGGCTACAAAATGAGTTACAGTCCAGCCCGAACTCCATAGTGAAAACCCTGTCTTTAAAAGACCCCTCTCCACAAAAAAACCTCAACAAAATCAGCAACAAAAACTAGAGATCACAAGACAAAGCCTTCCTCAACGTGGCTGTGAAATCAGCAAAAAGCCCACAGGTCTAAGTCTCCTAAAGTTCGAATTCCCATGAAACCCCTCAGCAGAGAGCAAAGGACTTGTTGAATGAGGACTATTCATTTCTAACCATATCTCACATGTAGGAAGAGACAATTTAAAATGTGTGAGCCATATTTCACATTTAAGAAGGAACAACTTTCATTATAATCACTACCAAGCTGGTTGTTTTGATGCATAGGTTATATTCACATTTTCTAGGTTACTTAGATGTCATTTGAAAAAAAATTTTCAGTGGAAATGTGTGCGTGCGTGCATGTGCATGTGTGTATGTATGTTTTGCCAGGAATCAAGCCCAGGGTCTCACACATGCTAGGCAAGGGCGCTTCACCACTGACCTACATCCTCAGCCCTGCAAGTGTTAGGGAGAAAGTCATACTGACATACTAACAGGTTGGCCATTTCTAATCCTGAGATCCAAAATCTGAAATACTCTAAAACCTGACATTTTTTGAGTGCTGACATGATGCTATAGGT